TTCTTAAGCACAAAGTTGAGGATGATGTGATCATTTCATAAGAATACACATCACTTAAATCAAAATTTTGATAATCACCATTACATATTATGATTGTTAAAGGCTTAGTAGGGAAATAGTCTCGATGTCTACACTCAATTGATGAGATTTAAAAGATAACATGATTGGTGATTAACATCTTTAAACACTACAAGCCTGAATTTAATTATGGACACCACAATCTTAAATGAGTTAAACTTGCCTTAGAGTCACCCACTCATATAACCTTTAAACGAAACATTAATTGATTAACTGAGTATCCTATCCTCAGGATAATTTAATTGTTAAGTTTCACTGAGCAGCGGGGTAGTCACACTTCAACCTCGGATGATTAATGGAATAATATGCTAAGTCAAAAATGAACTCGGAATATTTCAAGAGATCTTTAAAATGGTCCCGGGTCATGCCTCAAGCATTTTGAAATTTATTAGACATTCTGAAGGGCAAACCAGACTTGCCATATTTTTGTTCTAAAATCATCTACTAGGATCTTCTGAGATTCAATAAAATCATAACTTGGGGTTTGGTAGCTAAACATTCATCTACTCTTGCAATTTAAATTCCTTGTAAAATTATATACATTTCTTGCAAGTACTGACCTTTCAGGTGGTGGAACGAGAATAATCGACAGGTACGCTTTTAAATTAATGTATTTACCTTTCTATACTTCTTGTCTCGAGCTTGAGTGTTAAACAACAATGCTGCTAGGATAGCCACAAAACTAAAACTAAAACTAAAATCAATCAAGATAAAATTCACCGTCACAACATTCAAAATATAAGGCAAGTCAAAATTTAATCACAAACACCAGAAAACATCAATTGCAACTAAATTAAGACATCTCTATCAGATGATCGGGAATCCCTCGGAGGAGGTAACCTACGGTTGCTAACGAGACTTCTCATTGTCTAAATGAGAGTATGAAACTCATTGAGTTGAGTTTAGTAAATTCATTTGGACTAAGTGAATCCGAAAGAAAATAGTGGTACGAGAACGAGGGAACCATATGATCCTAACCAGTGTCGCTCTAATCAACTTTAATATGCCCTACAACATTTAAAGAACCATAACCATAGGACCATTTGATTTGAAATCATAACCTGACACATTAGAAAACTTAAACTCGTCACGACGAGGAGCTTAGAGATAGTATTGTGGGCAGCACGACCATCTTTATCAACAAGAGGATCTACAACATCATATCTTTCCTTATAATTAAACAACAAGCCATAGGATTTTGAGATTATTTACTTACGCAACATAAATTCCCACCCTTTTTTTTAGGCCTTTGTATAGCTTTGCTGTATAATTTAAGGCCTAACTCGTCTTAGGATTCTAAGGTTGTCGTTCGTCACGACCTAAATCCTCACATCTTCCAAGCTACTTGTGTGATCGTTTTACGCGAGTGTAAGCCCTAATTAATAAAATTAGCAGGATGAAACATTTAAATAATTTCTCCTCAAAATCGAAGCCAAACCATAGGATAGACTGGAAAATTTCCGATAGGATAGACTGTAAAATTTCAGAGGTTCTCCTCTGGATCTATGACATCCACTAGTTCTTTCTCCTTTATATTCTATAATAAATGTTCCAAATTTGAGTCATTCCCCTTTCACACCTCTTTGTCCGATCTCGTTGAAAAGTCTTATCCTTTTGACCTCTTTGAAGATAGTTTTCCCGGATTTTTATCGAGAGTTTTCTTAGGTGACTTCAGGTGTCTATGATGTAATTAACTATAGGGGCTTGCCCTTATATGAACCTTTTTCTGAACCCAGGTTAATATAAAGCCTATTTAATTCTTCGTATTAAATAGAGGAACTTGTCGGCAAATAAAATAATTTTTGCAGACCAAACGAATGTCATACATTTCTTAATTTATTTGATTGAGCCTCACCCTAAAGTTTCATGTCTATCTTTCGGGATAGATACCAGACTTGAGGTGTATTGATCTTTCATTTGAACTATGAAAGATATGAGATCAGTTTGATTTCATATATATATATATATATTATTCATCATATTATTAAATGTACTTCCGAAGCGGGCGACGAGATTTTGATTCCGACGACCGGGAGCTTCCAACGGGCAACTCCTTAACTAAAATTGTGTCGACCAGAGCCGCTACCCATTTGAGATTTTAGAGACTCTCTCTCTACTCGATGGCGTAGCGAGAGCTTTGAAGCATCGAGATGTTCTCATACAAAATAACCATCCTTTGATGACATATTCTCTAATACAAGCGAAACCACTTTTATCAAGAGTATTCTTAAGTATCCGCGAGGATGTAATTAACCAAAGAGATACGTTCATCTGAAAGACTCTTGACCCTAGAAGAAAATTGTCTTTTTTAGTTTTCTGGTTACGGGTGGCTTATGCAAGGATTCTGTTTGTGGATGTTGTGTTTTGAGTTACTTCGATTCGATCTTGTTTGGACTTATACTCTCGGCCTGTCACATAAGGATTACCCATATATAAGCCTTCAGCTTGTTTTTTTTATTTGTTTGCCTATTTGTTGTCATATATCTTTTTGTTCAATTCCTCACCTCTTCAGATCATTGATAAAATTTGAGGGGGAAATTTATTCGAATAAGAGAATTATATGTTGGTATATAAATATACAAGCTGACAACTCCAAGTCTTAAAAAGAACTGAGAAAACACCAAACAACTGAAATTTTCAACTCAAGTGGATCACTTAAATCAAACTCTTTAAAACCAAATTCAATTTCTCAAATCACTATTTTCAATAAATTCATAATTCTAATTTTCAGGGCATGCCTTCTTCTCATAGTTTGCTAATCCTTTTCTTGGGACTTTCTGTGTCAAATTGTCATAGGATTGTAAGTCTTAAACATTTAATTTTGATTAAATCCTTTCAAAGTCATACATCAATATGAGGTCATGAAATATCAATCTTCAATACACTTTCCTTATAGTCATGTCTGGTAAGCCCATATGTAATCAAACTTTCACTATCACTCATATGTTAAACACCAATCAACCTTCACTATCAATAACACTATAAACTCCATTCAAAACTTCAATGTCGATAAAACCTTAAACTTCAATTAAACTTCACTATCAATCATACATTAAACTCCAATCAATCCTTCAATTTCAAATATAAACCACTCTATTTCAATTAAATCTCTTCAACACAAATTAAATCCAATCAATCTACTTGAATAAAACCTTATTCAAACCTCTTTAGTCGAAAGTCACTTTCAAAATAAAAAAAATCACTTTGAAAACTCCAAAACTTTCTAAACAATCAAAACATTTTTCAATAACAAAATAATGAAAACATTTTTCAAGAATAAAACAAAACTTTAAAATCTTAAAACTTCAGAACTTAAACTTATAAGACTTCATAGTCTTTTCAAAACTTAAACTTAAAACATTTTAAAACATTTTACTCTAAAATATATTATAGCATCAATACTAAAATTTTTGAAACTTTAAAACCATTTTCAAAATTAAAACATAAAAAATTTTAAGACTTTTTCAAAACTTAAAATATTCTAAGACTCATCTATTGTTAAACAAATTTCAATCCTTAAATAAACTTAAACTAATTTCAAATAAACTCTGACTCATCTATTGTTAAACAAATTTCAATCCTTAAATAAACTTAAACTAATTTCATATAAACTCTGAAACTTCAAACAAACTTTAACCAACTTCAAACAAACTTCAAATAAGTTTCAATAAGCTTCAAACCTTAAGTAAACTTCAATAAAAATTTTAACATTCCAAAGAGTTAAATAAACTTCAAATATCTTTAAGGAAATTTTAATAAACTTAAAACAAAATTTCCTTATCTCAAATCAATAACCTCAAATCAAATCCAACCAACTCAAATTTTTAACTCGAGTGGATCACCTAAATCAAATAAAACACTTTTAAATCAATATAATCTAAAACAAACTCTTTCAAACTAAATTTAATTTCTAAAATAAAAAAATTAACCTGCTTTTAATAAATTCATAATTTGAATTCCCAGGGCATGCCTTCTTCTCATAGTTGGCTGAGCCATTTTCTGAGACTTTCTGCGACACATCATCATTAGATTGTAAGTCGTAACCTTTAATTTTGATCAAATCCTTCCAAACTAATCTATCAATCTGAGGTCATGAAATATCAATCTTCAATACACTTACCTTATAATCATGTCTTGTATAAGCCAATACTTTAATCAAACTATTCTTGCGAGCCACAACTTTTGAGATGTTATTAACTATGAGGGCGTACCCTTATAAAAATACTAGATCCTGGAATAAAATAAATCCCATCATACATCCATAAGTTAGGTGAAAACCCCTACTTCTGTAGACTCATAAATATTATATATCTTTTTCATCTGAATGATTATATGCATTTTAAAATAATAATTATACTTTTAGGGTAATATATTATTTTTTAAATGATACATCCAATCATTTAGATAGAAATTTTTTTAGACCTATAGTGGATACCCAATCCGATACCAAACGAAGAAAATAACCCACCATATTTACTTAAAATTTATTTTATTTTTTTAATCTTAGAATTAGGAAATTCTTTAATTAATAAAATATATTTGATATGTTTTTTTAATCTTTTTCTTATATTAGACATTTATAGTTAAAATTTCATTAATTTTTTTTCTTATATCAGAGAACCGATCGGTTCAAATATTATTCAATTTTAACATTTTGATTTTTGATGGAATGACCATGAATAAGAATTTAAATTAAAAAAAGATAAAATATCATGTCTTAAAATTTTTTATTTAGAATATTGTTCAAAGAATTCAAAAGCATTATCTTAAACTAAATCATTATTTTGTTGAATCGATAAAGATAATATTTGATTATTTTATTATTTAAATTATATTAAAATAATTTAATTATTTATTATGTTAGGTTAAATTTTGAGTCAAATCCTTATTTCTTCGACCAGGCCAATTTTTTTATTTTTTGAAATATGTAATATCTCCTCTCAAGCTTCATTTCGACTACTCCTGTAACCGCTTAAAAAGTGCGCGAGCAAAAAATCCGCTGGCTGTTAGGGTTTTAGAGCATATCTAAACCCTAATAGACGAAAACCATAGATTGGGGCTCTTTTCTCTCACGGTCTATGGCAAGATGAAACGCTGCTTCCCCTCGCATTCTCTGGTTTTTTTTCCTTAGATTTGTGTAGGTTTTGGTTGGAACGAGTCTGCTTATCATTGAAGAAACATATATATATATTTTTTTTTGTGAAATTGGTTTTTATGTTTTTTCTCTTTGGCGGGATCTTAATATGTGCGCTTGAAGAAACATATATATATATTTTTTTTTGTGAAATTGGTTTTTATGTTTTTTTTCTTTGGCAGGATCTTAATATGTGCGTTAATTATGCAAATTTCTACCAATTCAGATTGTTTTTGTTCTAGGTGTTGCGGTATTTTGTGAGTTTAAAAAAGAAAATCATTCATGGATGCGAGGGAGCCTTATGGACTTGATTCGTCTGAATGCTCGGGCATAATGACTGCTTCTAATTCTTATGGAATTGGAGCTGGAGTTCCAAGCCACTCAATGACCGTGGCTAAGTCTGCTGTGATGAGGTTTCCAACTAACACGATTTCATCTTCTGCACTAAAGCCATTGGATGCTTTAGGTTCAAATTACCCTGGAGATGGTGAGCTTGTTGGAATGGGACCAGGTGGTATGTTTGTTATGAGCGAGCCCATGAAGAAGAAAAGAGGAAGGCCAAGGAAATATGGGCCTGATGGGACTATGGCTTTGGCTCTTTGTTCTACGACTACTACATCTGAGTGCAACAAAACTAACACTTCACTGTCCCAACCCCCGGCTAAAGGACGAGGTCGTCCACCAGGATCTGGAAAACGGCAACAACTTGGTGCTTTGGGTACTTGTTCATTTTCCGTCTTAATTTTCTTGAATTTATTACAAAATTCAATTCCTTATCTGGTTTAGTTTTCAAATTGCATGTTCATATGACAATTGTGTCATCAATTTGTTTATTTCTTGATTTTGGAAACCCGTGTGAATGTCTTTCTATCATGTTCTTAGCAAACTTCACATCTATGGTACATATACTAGTGGCGCAGTTTGTAGAGATGACACTTGTTGCCAAGTGTAACTGACAGATGCTGCATCACATTAAAAATTTTGTATTCAAATGTATCTATTATTATTTAACTTTCAACTTCTTAGTTTAAAGATTATCACGTGAATCATGACTAGGGGGTCAAACGAGCTGAGTCAACATCGAGCCACAGCAGATTGGAGTTCGTCTTGCATTGCAGAAAATCTGCTCGAGCTCGAATTGAGATAAAAAATTGGGCTTGAGCTCAACTCAAGAATATTAATTTGTGCTTGAGTTTGGCTCGTTAACTCGGGTTCAATTGGAATGCTTGATGTTGACTCATGTATATGCTCATTAGAGTGACACGGTATAATTTCAGTTTGAATATTGGCTCGATTAGCATATAATGAGAAACCTTTAAAACAATATGTTAATTTATGAAAATTTAATAAGTTTCTAAAATTTAATATATTTTAACTATTAACAAATTGATAAAATTAAAAGATTATCTAATGAGAAACCTTTAAAACAATATGTTAATTTATGAAGATTTAATAATTTTCTAAAATTTAATATATTTTAACAATTAACAAATTGATAAAATTAAAAGATTATCTGAACAAAATTTTTTCAACCAAAACATAAATTTCTTATGTTTAAAAAAAAACTATCATACGAATAACATATACATAACTCCAGATAAACATCTCTGATTCAAGTTTAATATAAGAGAAGTGTCAAAATGATCTTTTGACTCTTTGTCGAGGGTCATTTAGAGAAGAGTCTATAGAAGTGTCTATCTAGTTCTCATGCTCTTTTAAAAGGTGCTAAAATAGTCCTCCCTAGGGATAATTTCGGTCCATATTAAACGAGTCCGAGGATTAATTTGACACTTTTATAGACTGGGACAAAAATGGCCCCATGTAAATAGTCAAGGGACTATTTTGGCACTTTATTCTATAAAAAAGGATGAAAATCAAAGAAATAAAAATCACTTATTCTACTCTCTGATTCCACCAATGTTTGTTGCTGAGAATTGCTTGTATTGTACACCCATTGGTCCCTTTGAACTCCATCAAATAAGCAATCAATGTCATAACTTGTTAGACAAAATAACTATCAAATGCTCTAAATAATTACCGACAATAGGGGACTGAAAACATAATAGAAGTATATTGGCACATGACTTCAAATGCTCTAAATAATTACCGACAATAGGGGACTAAAAACATAATAGAAGTATATTGGCACATGACTAAATATTTTCTATGCCATGAAATAAGATTCTCTTTCCCTTTCAGTATCATAAATTTCATTTATAATATGTTTTATGAAGTTTAAAAATCACACCCATCTTATTTGCCAAAATACCATTTATCTTATTGGTATACAAGGAAAACATTTATTAAGGCCCAATTTGGTAGAAAATATGAAGATATTGACATATTAAGTTATAAAGTTACTTGAGCATGAATGCGTCAAAGAAATAACATATCACACACTGATAATCTCACAAAGTTTCAGTTTATAATGAGTAATGACCATGAAGACAACTCATTTCGTTGTTCATAGACCAGTGGTGACATCTACGTCATTGTCATTCTGAGAGAGATGGCATTATGAGCTATATTTAGTAAACTTAATTACTTTAAATACAAAACTTTTTAATAAAAAGCTGAGAAATTTGTTAAGTACAAAATATATTAGAGCTAATATGGTGGGGGAACTAGAGAGAGGATATAACATTAGATGAATTTGGAATATAACCTAATCAAATTGGTATAGGTTTGGTACAAATGCATAGCTTTTGTCTTTCACTCGTCTAAGGTAAATTCAAGAGGTGTTGGGAAATTTCTTAGCTATATAATAATTGACATACCCCAAATTTTGAAACTTTTGACCCAACTATACAATAGTATCTCATATACGAAAATAGAAATACATGGAGATCAAGAAACATTTCATTCTAACCCAACAAAATCAAGCAACTTCACAAACAACAACATGTGTAAGATTCCATGAATCAACAACACCAACAAGTATATAAAAAATTATCATAAACTTATTGAATTATCCAAACTTTCAATGATATAAAAATAATTTCCTTAGGGAGTGTAAATATATGTGGTTATAAATAAACAAGTACATTTGATGAACAGCTCGATACTCATTTATATATGACATATTTTTGTTATTTTACATAAACAACTGATCAAGCATGAACAAAGAATATTAGAGTTAAGTCCATGACCCTTATGATTCATTATTAGATTTCGATAATAGCAAACATATGTTTAGGTGTAATAATGTTTTAATTTAGTGTTTATGGGACAAATAATTTTAGCAGATTAAGACGATCAAGTTTGAGAATACTTGAGTCTAGTTTGTCCTAGAACCCATTAGGGTTTTTTTTTTTTGCACATAATTGATTTAAAATTTACTAGGATCAACAAAATAAACTAATTTTAGGAATTTTATTTTCAATACAAATAATATTATTAACAATATATTAAATTTAAAATTGACTCTCATTCAATATCATTTTTAGTTTTGCAACTTTAATATTCCAACTATTTAATAATTCAAATAAATGTGATAATCGCAATCTAAATTTTTTATTAAATATTTAGTCACCATAAAATTTTCATGCAAAATTATGGAATTAACTCTAATAATTATAGTTGTGGAATTAATTTTTATTCATAATAAATCTATTATTTGGCTAAGTTGTTAATTCATTATAACTTTATTAAATACATATTAAATAAGCTATCTAAAAGCCTAACATCAATAAATAACATGCATTCAATATCATGATAATCATATAAAAATGTTTATATATATATATATGTATAATCTGTGTATGTATGCACAAATAATTATATTCTTTGATATAATTAAATATACATCATGATACTTAACTAAATTACATGCAACAAAAACAACAAGAAGCGTTTATGCCACTAAGTGGGGTTGGCTACATGAATCCTTTTTCTCCATTGCGTTCTATTAAGTGTTATATTTTCATTTAATTTTAATAGATTAAAATAAATTTTTCTACAATAAGCCCAAGTATTTTTAGATATACCTCTACATTTCTTAACATAAGTCGAATCTAAAATATCCACTCTCCTAATAGGAGCATTAGATGGTCGACAAAAATATCCACTCTCCTAATAGGAGCATTAGATGGTAGACATTTAATTTGACCAAACAATCACGAACCCTATCACTGATATATTCATTTCACATTTTGTCTCCAAGTGTCAAGCCACTTATCCACCAAAGCATTCTCATCTTAGTTATCCACCTAAGCATTCTCATCTTAGCAACATTTAACTTTTTTGTATGCTTCTCTTTTAAAGGCCAACATTCTCCGCTATAGAGCATTGCAACTCTCACTACCATCTTATACAATTTTCCTTTAAATCTAAGCAGTCCTTTTCTATCACACAATAGGCCTGATGCATTCCTCCATTTCAGCCAACCAACTTGAATTCTACTAATAACATCCCCATCTATATCACAATCACTTTGAACAATAGACTCGATATATCTAAAACAATCTCACCTTTTAACGATTTGATCACCCACAATTATAACTTTGCTACTAAAGTTACTATTACTAAAATTACATTCCACGTCAATGTTGGCCTCCACAATTCTAGTTTTTCCTAAACTTTTTCTCTAGACTTTTTCACAAGAAGGATATCATCAGCAAAAAACATACACCAACCTACATCCTCCTTTAAATGTTCAGTAAGAGCATCCATAACTAAAGCCAAATAATGTGGGCTTAAAGCCGATCCCTGATGCAATCCAAGTGAAATAGAAAAAATAGAAAAATACTTGGTCACTTGGTCAATCTTCCTTTTGTTTGAACACAAGTAACAACTCTAATATACATATCTTTAATGACTCGGATATAATTCATATTGACACCTTTTTTCTCTAGAACTCTCAAAAAAATTTCTCTTGGAAATCGTAAGCTTTATAATCAATGAAAATTATATTTAGATCATATATTTAAATCATCCTTATTCTCTATGTACTTCTCCATCAAACATTTCAATAAATGTATAGCTTCCATAGTAGACCTGCTCGACATAAATCTAAACTGATTATGAGGAATTTTTGTATCACGCCTTAATCTATGTTCAATTACCCTCTTTCATAATTTTAAAGTATGATAAGTCAACTTAATTCCTCTATAATTTACACACTCTTGTGCTTCCCCTTTATTCTTAAAAAGTGGGACCAAAATACTCTTCCTCCACTCCTCATGTATCTGTTTAGTTTTAAAATAATATTCAAGAGTTTAGTAAGCCAAGAAACTACCAAATCTCCGAAATATTTCCATACTTTAATCGGGATTACATATTTTTTTTAAACTTAACTAAATTACATGCAAAAAGTTTCAATTATATATTATCCAATATTTTGATGATCTTGTTTTGTTTAAATTATGCTTTAAATTAGCTATTAATGTCATATTATAATTCATATGTTACTTATATTTTATACATTATTATGCAACACAAATTAAGCTCCATTTATTTTATTACATAAGCGACACTTACCTTGTTTGGCTTGATCTTAATTTTTAAACATTCAATCATGCGTTGTTTGATTTTTGTTTTTGTATTTAATACATGAAAATTATGATTTATTTATATCGTTTTAATTTCAACTACTTGCCATATATTCAATTAAATTAAAACACTTTGAAATTTAAAGTTCAAAAATGTTTTCTAATTTGAAATTTATATGTTTTTTTATTTGATTTTTACTGCTGTAATTTTGTTTGGTTAAGTTAAAAT